GCATTTCACTCCATCCAATCACATCAATCCACCTGCTAATCTAATTAGACTATCTAAGCGTCTACAAGCTAAAAGGAAGTGTAAATAATATTTTATCATTCCGATGAAGGCTCGAAACAACGAGTTGAAAGCTCAATAAAAAACATTTTAAACAATCCTTTATTTATACATTAAATATGCCTGGATTACCAGTCTTTAAACATGTATATATACATAAATATGCAAAGCTCACCTTTATTGGTTTGAGCACTGTGGTGAATCAACTGCCTGAAGATCGCCCTACGGCGTGAAACTCTGAGTAGCGACAGCAAACAATTGTCCATTTTATTTTATTTTAGTTCATTTTATATATATATATATATATATATATATATATATATATATATATATATATATATATATATATATATTATGGATAATATTCCTGGATAAAGAGCGCTCAATATTCTATGTATTAGAAGAGCGTAAGATAAATGAACTAAAATAAAATGGACAATTGTTTGCTGTCGCTACGGAGTTTCACGCCATAGGCGATCTTCAAGCAACGCTGTCTGCCCTACGGCGTGAAACTCCAGTAGCGACAGCAAACAATTGTCCATTTTATTTTAGTTCATTTTATCTTACGCTCTTCTAATATATAGAATATTGAGCGCTTTTATCCTTTATCCATAATATATATATATATATATATATATATATATATATATATATATATATATATATATAGGAAGTTTATAATTTTGAATTTCCGTATAAAACAGTGCTCGATGCCCGAGAGCAGAGCGTAAATATTATAAGAAGAAGAAAATACACAAAACTACAATTTCATCCTGACAAGCCTGTTTCGTGATTGCTCACTCTTCAGGGGATTTAATGAATAAAATACTTAAATGCTTAAATATATATACAAGATGATGACGGAAGCTAGTGTATTAATCAAGGTGTATGGTTTCAAGTTAGATGACGGAAGTTACAGTATTAATTACGGTGTATGGTTACAAATTACATAGGAGTGTTTTGGATCTATGGCGACAAGAGGAAATAAGTTCGTTGCGTTTATTGAGGGATGATTGGATGGTTGGTACAGGATGAAGAATTTTCTTTGAGGCAAAGGTTGCATCTTTACTGGTGCTGTTGTATGGTTTGCTGTGTGTAATGATGTTCCATGAGATGTCGGTTGATATTGGTCTTTAAGGGTCCAAATGTGCTTACTGAGCTCGGTCGAGTTTCGTAGTTTTTGTGGCGGAAAGAGGCAGTGGATTTCTATGTCTAGTCTTAAATTCGTTTTCTGTAAGTCCAATGTACGTCTAGTTGTGTTATTGTCTTTGCGTTTTACAGTAGCTTGGTAAACAACGGATGACTGCAGGCAATTTCCGTTAAGTGGGCAGTTTTGTTTTCGGCAGTTGCATGTTTTGTAAGTGTCTTTTGTTCGCGGTGTTGTCGTTAGTTTTGTCTGATGTTCTCAGTATATGTTTGTTATGGTTGTTGATTATTTGTTCGATATTGTTCATGCAGCTGTAGCTGAGTTTGATGGTGTTACGGTTGAATATTTTCCTGAGTTTATGGTCTATGGGGAAGTGTTTGTCGATTGATGAAATGAATTTGTGGCCGATGTTCGTGTAGACGTTTTTGCTGAATGGAGGGTTGTACCAAAGTATATTTTGTCGAAGTCTGTTTTTCCGTTTGGTAGTAGCATCTGAGTCGAATTTTAGTGTGTATCGGTATCCGTTTTCGTCGAGTGCTTTTTGGTATGGTGCAGTTATTTGGTCAAATGATGCTTTGTCGGATGATAGTGAAGATAGACGTTTGTTGACGGCGCCGGGCATGTTCTTCGTTATGGTTGGTGGATGGTTGCTTTCGCTGTGGACGTATTGCAGAGAAGAGTTGGGTTTTGTGTAAGGGCGATATGAAAAATTGTTAAGATTGAAGGTGATGTCAAGGAAGTTGATGATTTTTTTGTTTGCTTCAATATTTATGCGTAGTCCATTGTTGTTGAATATCCGGCATATTTCCTTTTTAATGTTCTCAGTTTCTCGTGGTGTGGTGTTTGAAATGGCAAGTCCATCGTCTCGATAAAGTCCTATGTCTGTTGTGATGTTTTGTAGTTGAGAAAGGAGGCAGCTTCCTACGAGTTCGCATGTATCAGCTCCGTCAAAGCTACCCATTGTGACGTCGAATGTAGAGTTATATTTTTTTTGCCAGGGTTGTTTGTTGTGTATAAGGAATGAATTCTTAGCGTGTATAATGATTTTTTCGGCGTTTGTGATGTTGTCGTAGGCTGGAGAATCCAGTGCTTTGTTTAGTAGGTCTTCATTAATGCATGGATAAAAGTCTACGATGTCGAAGGATATGAAGGTGACGTTTTTTTTGTGTTTGATAGATTTGAACCACTGGATCACTACCATGAAACACGAAACGAAGCTTCTAATCGCTGCCGACAAAACAACAAATTTCTACAAACTAGACAAGCCAGCATACTACGACCTTCTTGAACAAAACATCACAAAATCATACAAGAAATCGAACGCCGACACAATAAAAGCCATCCACACCGAAGACAAAAACATCACATCACGACTTGGTATATCTGACAGAGTAGCTTCTACACAACAAACAACCCTGGCAAAAAAAATATAACTCTACATTCGACGTCACAATGGGTAGCTTGACGGATGGAGCTGATGCGAACTCGAAGCTGCCTCCTTTCAACTACAAAACATCACAACAGACATAGGACTTTATCGAGACGATGGACTTGCCATTTCAAACACCACACCACGAGAAACAGAGAACATTAAAAAGGAAATATGCCGGATATTCAACAACAATGGACTACGCATATATTGAAGCAAACAAAAATCATCAACTTCCTTGACATCACCTTCAATCTTAACAATTTTCATATCGCCCTTATACAAACCCAATTCTCTGCAATACGTTCATAAAGCAACCATCCACCAACCATAACGAACATACCCGACGCCGTCAACAAACGTCTATCTTCACTATCATCCGACAAAGCATCATTTGACCTGAAATAACTGCACCATACCAAAAGCACTCGACGAAAACGGATACCGATACACAAATTCGACTCAGACGCTACTACCAAACGGAAAACAGACTTCGACAAAATATACTTTGGTACAACCCTCCATTCAGCAAAAACGTCTACACGAACATCGCCACAAATTCATTTCATCAATCGACAAACACTTCCCATAGACCATAAACTCAGGAAAATATTCAACCGTAACACCATCAAACTCAGCTACAGCTGCATGAACAATATCGAACAAATAATCAACAACCATAACAAACATATACTGAGAACATCGACAAAACTAATGACAACACCGCGAACAAAAGACACTTACAAAAACATGCAACTGCCGACAAAACAAAACTGCCCACTTAACGGAAATTGCCTGCAGTCATCCGTTGTTTACAAGCTACTGTAAAACGCAAAGACAATAACACAACTGAGACGTACATTGACTTACAGAAAACGAATTTAAGACTAGACATAGAAATCACACTCCTCCGCCACAAAAACTACGAAACTCGACCGAGCTCAGTAAGCACATTTGGACCCTTAAAGACGGCAATATCAACCACGACATCTCATGGAACATCATACACACAGCAAACTATACAACAGCACCAGTAAAGATGCAACCTTTTCCTCAAAGAAAAATCCTGTACCAACCATCAAATCATCCTCAATAAACGCAACGAACTTTTTCCTCTTGTCGCCATAGATCCAAAACACTCCTATGTAATTTGTAACCATACACCGTAATTAATACTCTAACTTCCGTCATCTAACTTGAAACCATACACCTTGATTAATACACTAGCTTCCGTCATCATCTTGTATATATATTTAAGATTTAAGTATTTTATTCATTAATCTCTTGAAGAGTGAGCATCATGAAACAGGCTGTTGGGATGAAATTAGTTTTTGTGTATTTTCTTCTTCTTAATAATATATATATATATATATATATATATATATATATATATATATATATATATGATGAGAAAAAGAAAATACATAAAAAACTACAATTTATCCTGACAAGCCTGTTTCGTGATTTCTCACTCTTCAGGGATAATATTAAATGAATACAAAGCATGTGCTAGATATATATACAAGAGGAAGTTAGGTTAAAAATTGAGATAGAATTACATAATATATTGAGTGTACGATTACAAATTACATAAAAGTGCTTTGTGTCTATGGCGACAAGAGGAGATAAGTTCGTTACGTTTGTTGAGTGATGATAGTTGTGGTTGGTAGGTGATGAAGAGTTTTCTTCAGGCATAGGTTGCATCTTTGTTGGCGCTGTTGTACGGTTTGCTGTGAGTAATGATGTTCCATGAGATATTGTGAGCGATGTTGTTGTCTTTAGTGTCCATATGTGTTTGCTGAGTTCGGTGGAGTTTCTTAGTTTTGTGGCGAAAAGAGGCAGTATGGTTTCTGTGTCGAGTCTTAAATCGTTTTCTGTAAGTCCGATGTAGGTCTCAGTTGTGTTATTGTTCAAACGTTTAACAGTTGCTTGGTAGATGACAGATGATTGTAGGCAGTTTCCGTTAAGTGGGCAGTTTTGTTTTGACGGCAGTGTGCATGTTTTGTTTGTGTATTTTGTCATTGATGGTGTCATTAGTATTGTCAGGTTCTCTCAATATGCGTTTGTTATGGTTATTAATGATATGCTGCATATTGTTCATGCAGCTGTAACTTAATTTAATTGTGTTGGTTAAATAGTTCTGAGTTTGTGGTCTATAAGTGCTTCAATTAGTGAAATGAATTTGTAGCCGATGTTTGTGCTGACGTTCTTGCTGTATGGTGGGTTGTATCAGAGTATGTTATTTCTAAGTCTGTTTTTCCGTTTCGTAGTAGCGTTTGGGTCATATTTCAGCTGGTAATAATATCCATTTTCGTCAAGTGCTTTTTGGTATGGAGGGATTGCTTGGTCGAATGATGCTCTGTTGGATGATAAGGATGAAAGGCGTTTGTTAATGGTATCGGGTATGTTCTTTGTAATGCTTGGAGGATGGTTGCTTTCGTGGTGGATGTATTGCAAAGAGGTGTTGGGCTGTAAGGTCGATGGAAGAATTCTTTAGATCGAACGTAATGTCGAGGAAGTTAATGACTTTTGTTAGCTTCGATAGTGATACGCAATCCGTTGTTGTTAAATACGCGGCATATCTTTTTAATTTTTTCTGTTTCTTTAGGTGTTGCTTTAGTAATGGCTAGTCCGTCGTCGCGATAGAGTCCTATGTTAGTAATGATGTGTTGCAGTTGTGAGAGTAGATAGCTTCCTACGAGTTCGCATGTTTCGGCGCCGTCGAAGCTGCCCATTGTCACGTCGAATGTGGAGTTGTATTTTGCCATGGTTGTTGGTTGTGAATGAGGTATGAGTTCTGGCATGTATGATAATGTTTCTCTTGGTTTGTAATGTTGTCGTAGGTTGAGGCGAATTCAAGTGCTTTGTTTAAGAGGTCTTGGTTGATAGACGGGTAGAAGTCTACAATGTCGAAAGATATGAAATTGTGATTTTGTTTGTGTTTGATGGAGTTGAACCACTTGATGGCAGATGACGAGTTTTTCCATTGGTTCAGCGAAGTGCTTTTATGATATTGTTGTTTATTCTGTCAAGTATTTTTTTTTTTAATTTTTCCAATGTTGATTTCGCACTGGGCTGGGATTAGTCGTAACGTGGCTTATTTTAATTGCTGATAGCAGATATTTTGTCCGGATGGCTTGTATTATGCCGATTCTTGTATGATTTCGTGATATTGATTTTGCTTGTCTATTGTAGATTGGTTTTGTCGAGTGCGATAAGTAGCTTTTTTCGTGTTTGATGGCTGTGATGTTGTCTTTTATTTCAGTGAGAAATGCGTTGAGTACTTTTTAAAATTTTACTGATTGCATCATCTTCATCATGTCGTTTTCAAATTGTTTTCGAATAATGATAAGGATTCTCTGGATTTGTTTTAAATTTTTATTAAGCTTTCAACTCGGTGCTTCGAGCCTTCGTCCGAATGTGACAATATATTATTTACAAAGATTTTGTAGGCGTTTGGAGCGTCTGATTGGTGGGTTAGTATTTGAGTTGATATTATTGGATAGTATAAGATGCGTTGTCATGGTTTCGGGTATATCGATTACGTTAATGAAATTCGAGTGTTTTATTTTAGTCGTTGTGGTATTAGTTTGTTGTTTTGGTTTTGTCTTTAGTTGTGAATAGATGATGGGGATGTCAATATGTCTGTTAATTGTGCTGTTGTCTTTGCTGTGCCATGCCCCTTTGAATTCTCGTGCGTGTTTTGTCTGTGCGCGTCCAAGAAGTTGTGTTTTTGTCCAGTCAAATGTGTGGTTGGTATCGTAGGTATGTTCTGCTGGTAGTGATTTTGGGTCGCGTCGTTTGATGGCATTCTTGTGTTCAGTGAGTCTTGTTTCAATTTTCTTGGATGTTTGTCCTATGTACTGTTTGGGGCAATCTTTACATGGTATCATGTAGACCGCGTTGGTTGTGTCGAATGTCGTTGTTCGGTCTTTATGTTTAGTGAAGTATGATTTGAGTTTGTGTGTTGGTTTATGTGCGACGTTTATTTTGAATGGTCGGAGTAGTCTTAATGTCATTTCTGATGTTCCGTTTATATATGGTAATGTCACTATTTTTACTGGTTCGTCTGTATCTTCGTTAGGTTTTTCCGTTTGTGGTTTGTTGTGTATTTTGTTTAATACTTTGTTGATAAAGTTTCGTGGGTAATTGTTGTTTATGAATGTAGAGTATAAGTGGTTGCGTTCATTCTTCTTGGCTTCTTCTGTATTGCAGTGTGTTTTAATCCTGTTAAAGAGAGTTCGTATGCAACTAATTTTGTGTTGTGTTGGGTGATTGCTATTAAAGTTGAGTATTTGGTCTGTGCGTGTATTTTTGCGGAACACTTGTGTGTTTAATGTGCCGTCATGTGAACTGGTAAGTTGAATATCTAGGAAGGTAAGTTGTTTGTTCTGTTCTTTGTCCATGGTGAAGGTTATGTTCTGTGTGGTGTTGTTTATTGTGTGTAGAATGTGTTCTGTTTTGTCTTTTTTGACGATAGCAAAGATGTCGTCAACAAATCTTCTCCATAGTCTGATGTGTGCGTTGTTGGTGACTGACTGCTTTTTCTTGGTGTTGCATAACAGCTTCTGCAAGGAAGGTGAATAAAGGAGAACCAATTGGTGTTCCTGAGATTTGTCGGTAATATGAATTTTGGAAGGAGAATTCAATGGAGAGGCAGAGCTCGAGCAGGTCGATGATATCGTCTTGGTCTAGTTCGGTTGTGATTTTCCATGAGTTGTTGCTAGTAAGTAGCTCGTTCGTGACTTGTTTGGCTATGTTTAGTGGTATGGATGTAAAAAGTGACACTACATCGTAAGATATCATGAGTTCGTCTGGTTTTAGTTTTACATTTTTAATATTGGTGAGGAAAGTTGTGGCATTTTTGATAGTATGATGTGATGATTTGACTAGTGGGTGCAGAATATTAGAAAGATATTTTGATAGTTCATACGTGGGAGATCCAGGAAGAGATCCGCTACGACTAATTGACATCTTTGCTATCGTCAAAAAAGACAAAACAGAACACATTCTACACACAATAAACAACACCACACAGAACATAACCTTCACCATGGACAAAGAACAGAACAAACAACTTACCTTCCTAGATATTCAACTTACCAGATCACACGACGGCACATTAAACACACAAGTATTCCGCATAAATACACACACAGACCAAATACTCAACTTTAATAGCAATCACTCAACACAACACAAAATTAGTTGCATACGAACTCTCTTTAACAGGATTAAAACACACTGCAATACAGAAGAAGCCAAGAAGAATGAACGCAACTACTTATACTCTACATTCATAAACAACAATTACCCACGAAACTTTATCAACAAAGTATTAAACAAAATACACAACAAACCACAAACTGAAAAACCTAACGAAGATACAGACGAACCAGTAAAAATAGTGACATTACCATATATAAACGGAACATCAGAAAGGACATCAAGACTACTCCGACCATTCAAAATAAACATCGCACATAAACCAACACACAAACTCAAATCATACTTCACTAAACATAAAGACCGAACAACGACATTCGACACAACCAACGCGGTCTACATGATACCATGTAAAGATTGCCCCAAACAGTACATAGGACAAACATCCAAGAAAATTGAAACAAGACTCACTGAACACAAGAATGCCATCAAACGACGCGACCCAAAATCACTACCAGCAGAACATACCTACGATACCAACCACACATTTGACTGGACAAAAACACAACTTCTTGGACGCGCACAGACAAAACACGCACGAGAATTCAAAGAGGCATGGTACAGCAAAGACAACAACACAATTAACAGACATATTGACATCCCCATCATCTATTCACAACTAAAGACAAAACCAAAACAACAAACTAATAACACAACGACTAAAATAAAACACTCGAATTTCATTAACGTAATCGATATACCCGAAACCATGACAACGCATCTTATACTATCCAGTAATATCAACTCAAATACTAACCCACCAATCAGACGCTCCAAACGCCTACAAAATCTTTGTAAATAATATATTGTCACATTCTGACGAAGGCTCGAAAGCTTAATAAAAAAAAATTTAAAACAAATCCAGAGAATCCTTATCATTATCATATATATATATATATATATATATATATATATATATATATATATATATATTGATGAGAAGAAGAAAATACACAAAAACTACAATTTCATCCCGACAAGCCCGTTTCGTTATTTCTCACTCTTCAGGGGATAATATTAAATGAATACAAAGCATGTGCTAGATTATATATACAAGAGGAAGTTAGGTTAAAAATTGAGATAGAATTACATAATATATTGAGTGTACGATTACAAATTACATAAAAGTGCTTTTGTGACAACCACAACTATCATCACTCAACAAACGTAACGAACTTATCTCCTCTTGTCGCCATAGACACAAAGCACTTTTATGTAATTTGTAATCGTACACTCAATATATTATGTAATTCTATCTCAATTTTTAACCTAACTTCCTCTTGTATATATATCTAGCACATGCTTTGTATTCATTTAATATTATCCCCTGAAGAGTGAGAAATCACGAAACAGGCTTGTCGGGATGAAATTGTAGTTTTTGATGAAATTGTAGTTTTTGTGTATTTTCTTCTTCTCATCAATATTTACGCTCTGCTCTTGAGTATCGAGCACTGTACTTACGGAGATTCAAATAAACAAAACTTCCTATATATATATATATATAGGAAGTTTATAATTTATGATTTTCCGTATAAAACAGTGCTCGATGCCCAAGAGCAGAGCGTGAATATGTGTAGTGGTGTTGAGAAACCACCAAGACTTTCAGTAACAAATGATCTCTGACTCCCAGAATCCAACAAAACCCTTACTCGTCCCGACCTACTACCAACCAGTTTTGCTTGTGCAGTTTGCAAAGCAACATTGCATATCCTTGTGGTGTTGGTGTTTTCTCAACACCACTACACATATATATATATATATATATATATATATATATATATGTATTATTATGGATAATATTCCTGGATAAAAGAGCGCTCAATATTCTATATATTAGAAGAGCGTAAGATAAAATGAACTAAAATAAAATGGACAATTGTTTGCTGTCGCTACTCAGAGTTTCACGCCGTAGGGCGATCTTCAGGCAACTGACAGATAATATTTTATTTGCTGACTATATACATCGACTAAAAGGTGTTAAGTTACATGACGGCATGCACTAAACATATCGGAACGTTTATTTAAAATGTTCTTTTTACGTCCTTTAAGGATAAGTAGCCTTTCTTCAAGGCAAAGACGGCAGGTTCTTTGGTTTTTGTTCGGAGGTGGAAGTTGTTTGATGAAGTCCCATTTAATGTTGTAGTTACGTTTGTTTTCTCAGATTAACTTTAACTATATACGGGTTATATATGTATATATATATATATATATACGGGTTATATATATATATATATAACCCGTATATAACCTGTTTTGTGATTTTTCTGAACACCACTGCACATATAACCCGTATATATATATATATATATATACCGTAAGTCCTTTGTCCCAAGTGCAGGAGTCACCATTTTACTATGGTGATAGCCGTGAGGGCGCATTGTTATACACTTTGTATATATATATATACGTATAATATATATTAATATATGTAGAAAATTAGGGTTTCTCCAGATTTTTTTTGAGTTATCGAACTTTTGAATTGTTGCTTCGAGCCTTTATTATAATGATAGAGGAAGTTATTTATAATTGTCGGTTTTTTATGCAATTTGTAAAAGTTGAAAATGTCTGCCACAAGTTCTTATTGTTATAAACTGTGTATTTTTTAAATTTTTGGTTGTCTCACGTGTTGTTATTTATTCATATATGGATGGATTGCTTTCATTAGACAATGAATTGGCCAAGTTTTCAGTTACTACAATACTTCACATTATAAAGTAAATGCTTTAAACCCGGGAGTACCGTTACATTTTTGTATGTTGTACACAAGGTGCCAAAAAAATGAGTCCACTGAAAATCGAATGCATATTTTTAGTTTTGAAGCATATCACCATTCTGTCACAACAATGTTAGGTTTTAAATTCTCGAAAAAGCAATGTAAGTACATGGTATGTCCTCCTTAGCTTTCAAAATGGCTTCAACTCTTTTTGGCATAGATTTAACAAGATTTTGAAGTGTAGATGGTTCAATATTACGCCAACATGTAGAGATTACATCCCATAGCCTGTCCTGGCTTGTTACGTCATGTTTCACTTTTTCTCTTTTCAACTCATCCCATAAGTGTTCAATTGGAGTTACATCGGGCGATTGTGGTGGAAATGCCATGAGCTCGAATTCACCTTGATTTTCTTTGTTCCTTAAATAATTTGGGCACAAGTTGGAGCTGTGTTTCGGATCGTTATCCTGAAGTAAGGTAAATCCTCTCCCGCATAACCTTTTGCCAGATGGTACAGCATGCCTTTGGACAATAGAATGGTATTGCTTTTTCTCAAGATTGCCTTTTATTCTTTAAAGACTCCCAACACCATTAAATCTGAAACAGCCCCAGACTTGAATGTTTCCACCCCCATGCTTCAAGGTGGACTTAAGGCATTGACTTGACAATCTTTCACCACAGCCTCGTCTCACATAAACACGGCGATTATTTCCATGTATTTCTAACTTTGATTCATCAGTAAAAAGTACTTTTTTTCAATCGTCTAGAATGGGCGAAGCAACGGTCTGGAAGCTGCAACTCTTCCGTTCAGACTACTTGCAGCCAATCTCCTTCTTAGTGTTGTTTTGCTGATTGCTTTCTCTCGGGTGGCGGTAATTGACGATTGAATGTTGCTAGCAGTTGGTCGTCTGTTTCGCAAAAAACTTTATGAACTGATCTTCTTTTTATGGTGTTATACGTAGTCTCCCAGGTTTTGGTAAAGTGAAATAACATTGCATCTTTTTAAATCTTTCCACGGTTCGCTGCACAGCTCCTTTGGACATTCCCAGCTTTGCAGCAACATTACGTTGTGATTAACCTTCGTTAGTGAGAGCAACAATTTGTCCTCTAACTCCTTCACTTAAATCTTTAGCCATTTCCCAATGTACTGCCCATGCGTTCAAATATTTTGAAATATCTTGCAAACAATTGTGGGAGACAATTTCAGGTCTTACTGCGCTTTTCAAGTGGCTACTGTAACTATATATTTCAAAAGACACATTTTTTCCCACAATTTTACCAATATTGGAATTGGACTCATTTTTTTGGCACCTAGTGTAGATCGTCCAGGTTAGTATAGTCCTAAAAAGGACTGTTTTTGTTGTTGTTGACTGACGTTTCGACAACCTTCGCGATAGTCATCTTCAGAGAAAAATAAGGAGTAAACGTCAGGTTAGCGGTATTTATTACCTGGCTCTTACGTCATTGTATTGTATGTACAGGAAATGTTTGGGTGTCAATTGTATATTGTCATTGTGAATTAGTGTGAAGTGTAATGTTCTTTGCTCATCGTTGGTTTGTATTGTGAATAAGTCGTTCCTAAGGTGCCGGTAATTACTGTGATCTGCTCTGGGGGGTTTGTTCCAAGTTGGTACACCAACTTTCTATTCAAAACTGTTCTCTATAGTCAATGCTGTAAGTAACGCATTTTGACAAGTCTCAGTCAACGTTGTGCTTTGTTAGTCGGTAATGTTCGGCAATGTGATTAGTTTTGTCTTGTTTCTTTGTTGCTCGTCTGTGTTCAGTGAATCTTTCTATTTTGTAAACTGCACCTTGGCGTTCTTTGGATTGTTTTTTGTCTTTTATGTTCGTTGGTATATTGTAACGTTGTGATTGGTTTATGTGCGACACGTATGTTGTATGGTCGTAAGATACGCGAGATAGTCTCAGACGTACATTTGATGCAAGGTATCATTGCTGTTGTCGCTGAGTTGTTCGTTTCGTCGGGTTCGTTGTGTTTGTAAGTGTTGCTTTTGATGAAGTTGGAGATATAGTTCTTTTTATCAAAAACACATTTGAGATAGTTGTTTTCGTTCTGTAGAGCGTCGGGTGAGTCACATATGTTTTGTGCACGCCTTGTTAATGTTCTGATTGTGGTGCCTTTGTGTGATGTAATGCTGTAAGATGCTTTTACTAATAGTCGGTAAGTGTGTGTTGGTTTGCGCCACCTGTCGTTCTAGTTTTTGACTTTCCTGTTTTAGCAGACAGTCGAGAAAGGAAGAGATTGATTTTTGTCGTTTTTTTCCCGTTTTTCTCTTTCGTTAAATATATGTAGCTGTTATGTTCGTTGATTTGAGGGTGAAAGTAATCAATCTCGTCTGCATGTAGTGCTGTGGTTGTCTCATCTACGTAACGAAACCTAAAAGGTAATGCATGTTCGTAAGTCGTGAGCGCCCGTTCCTATATAGATTGCATTACAATTTCAGCAAGTAAAACATTTCTGTTGAGCCCATTGCTTTTCCATGTAATTGTTTGTAGTGTGTACTATTGTGCTGGTAGTAAGTCGAGGTGAGGCAGAGCTCAAATAGCTCGATAATGTCTTCTGTTGGTAATGGCAGTACGTTCGTGGTGTTTCAAATGAGGTTTTTGTACAAGTAAGTGCCAGCCAATCGAATGGGTATTTGTTGTTTGTGATTTTTTGGTAGTCCCTAAAGTCTCAGTGATCGTGGTACTGAACATTTAAGTCGATAGTAAATACGTTCAGATATAATTATAGATATTTTCATACCGAAAAACTAGCTGTCATAGAGAAAATCTTGCGTACTAGTGATGGTGTTGGTCTCGTTTGAGTTTTTCGTACGTTTAACTGTCGTTAAAAGGGGTGTCCATTTTTTGGAAGTAATCATTCCTATCTATGACGACAGTCACGCGTCCTTTGTCTGCTGGTAAAATGACGATGGTTTTGTCATGTTTTAGTCGTTCGAGTGCGTGTTGCTCGTCCTTTGTCAAGTTGTTGTCACGTATAGAGGACGATTGTAAACAGGAGGCTACTTTGCTTCTGATCTGGTCTTTGGTTGTCTCTGACAAGTCTCTTTGATACGCCAGGACACCCTCGACACTTCATACTATCGTCTCAGTCGGGATTCGTTCAGGTATTATGGAGTGTTTTAGTCCGTAAGACAGTAGTCGTGTTTCAGTTTCGTCTAATGAGCGGGAAGAAATATGCCTCACCCAGTTATCGTCATGTTTATGTCTGGTACGTGTTTTAGTGCGTTTTAAACAATAAAGTTTTTGTTGTTGTCTGATTTAGTGTTGTGTCTCTGTCTTGTGTGCTCGTTTCTCTGCAATATTTTGTATCGTAGAAAGTAAAGTATCACTTACTGTCGTTGGTATGAGTTCTTTCAGTTTGTTCAATCTTGGTTCTTGTTGCTCGATGTAATAGTTGATTCGTCTGTGAAAGTCGTTAACCCGTGCTCGTATCAGTCATCTGCTGGTCAAAGAAAACGGATTTCTTCCTTTTCTCGACTGTTTGGTAAAACGTGACAGTCAAAAACTACCAACAACAGTTTATTGCAAATCAATTAGTACCAATCCTCTTACAACCCACATCACACAAAGCCACCACAATCAGATAATTAACAAGACGTGCAAAAATCATATGTGATTCACCAGACGCTCTACACAAGGAAAAAAACTATCTCAAACGTGTTTTTGACAAAAACAAATATAATTCTGCCTTACTCGAATACAATCCCAACGAACAGTGGCGTGCGGTGACCGAATTTAATAGGCAAGCGCTGGGGGTGAGGTTCCCGGCATACCGCGAAGCTATCTAGGGGTTCTGGGGGCATGCTCCCCCAGAAAATTTTTGGATTTTGAAGGCTACTGGAGCGCATTTCCCGCGATTTCTGGGAGTACTTTGTCGAAAAAATGTATCTGTCATGACTGAAACAGTATTGAAAAAATCTAAAAAATTCAAAAACTTTTATAGAGTATATATCACAATTACAGTTTAAAAGTATTAGATGTGGTATTGTGATATAAAGTCGTTTTAAGTAAATGGCTACGCGTGCATTTCTATTGTAGTGTGGGGTCATATGCACTTAGCAGTTTTATCAATTCGACGTAATTGCCCCTGTTGGCAGACTCCTCCAGCTCCACCCGACCTCTGAAAGAAAGTTCCCGTTTGCCAAGAAAGCAAACAACATCAATGAAACGGCGAAGTACTTCTCTACTCTTGTGCACCATCAAGTTGTGAGCTGAGATGTGTTGACGGGCCTGTTCGTCTAGCTGCATGTCGATGCGTGTACGCCCAAAACTGGCATTCATTAGGCAACTGGACAAGTGTGTCTTCGTTTTCTCGTGTCTGTTGACGGCATTACACAGGTTGGCCAAATCATCGTATCCCTTCTTGCACCAGACTGTCTTGTCTGTTGAGTTGAACAAAAGACACTGCCAGCAAAATAACTTATTCAATTTTGAGGAGCCAGCCAGCCATTTGTACTTGTCGTAATTTGACGTCTGAAAACTTCGAATAAAGACTTTACCACTTCGCTTGGATGTTGTATGTAGTCCTTGCAACTCAGGATTGGAAGGCCACCTTCGACGATCTCTCGTTTCTCGGAAAAAGGTCTCAATCCAAATGAGCGGGATAATAGTGATTCCACAATGCATTCAGTCATGTTGTACAGGTGTCGTAAAAATACCGAATTGTAGAAGTAGAACATAAAAGGATGAAAATTCCTATGCTATATATTTTATAGGAACATCAATCTTATTTATACCTTACATCAGTTACATGATATCTTGTAGTGACGTACATAACGTGCGTACATTACTCATCTAGATTCATGTATTAGCAATAGAGGAAATAGCCAATCCTACACTTACTCAAACGCGCTACTTAAACTTACGCACTTAACTTTATAATTACGTAAAACTACTCAAATTTCAAGTACATTATCCGCTGTGTAATAACTGCACCTTGTTTATCAAAATATATAAAATGCCTGTAAATAAATTCTAACATATAGAATACTCATAGGGGCGGATCTAGACCGATGCAACCGATGCGAATGCATCGGTCAAAATATTTAGATATTAAAATCTGCGAGTTTGCATTTTAATGAAATAAATAGCAAATATTATTTTCGAATTATTTAAAACGCACATTTGACAGTGATATATTGTTTAGTTAACTTATAGATTTAGCAGTTTTAAGCTAAAATTTGTTCTAGAAATAACATTTGTGTTCTCCGATAATTTTGTCGTATTCCATGACACAAATAGCGAAAGAAAAGTCGATAAAATTTAGCGAAATTTTGTCGTGAATACATAATTAGTAAGTAGTTTAATAGTATTCTGCCAGCACGTCACGGTAGATGGAAGAGGCATCGCTACGTCACAGTAGATTTGCGATGCATCGGTCGATGCATCGGTCCCGAGTCCTTTTCCGCGTGAAATCTACTGTGACATCAGCAAAACCATTGTTTTAGGGCCTCACGTCACGGTAGATTTTGCCGCTGAGCGATGCATTTTCCATAATTTTGTGATTGTGGGCACATGGCACCGATGCATTCAACTTTGAACTTCAAAGTTGAATGCATTGTTATTTGATCACTTGATATAACTCGCAATCATCGATCGAAGTCATGGCTGTCGAGAATATCAAACACGATCTGTGTACTCTGCTTCGAGAAGAGAAGTCATTTGATATTAATGGAGTGCGTCGAACCTATGAAACGAGAGCTGCTACTTTTATTTCAAAATCCTCTCCTTGGAATCCCTTTTCAAAGGGTAAAAATGGGAGAGATATGTCAAGTGAAATGTTAATACCTAAGCACTTGACAGTTCATTGGCAAAGTGGAGAACTAAGAGCTTTAAAGTAAGTAAATTTACCTTTATGCTTGCATGTTTTAAATGTAAATAGTGTACTCATTTCAGACTCAGAGTGTAGTCGTGTAGATAACGACGAACAATCATCATAAAATATACACGATGTCATATTACTTATGCAGCACTTATACTTGTATTCATATGTAATATAATACAATCGCTGGAAAATGCCTCTCGGATAGTGAAAATTCAAAAATTTTCTGGGGGAGCATGCCCCCAGACCCCCCTAGCGGTGGCTCGCGCCTTAGGCGCTCGCAATGCATCGGTCAGCTAAGGAGCTGGATCCGCGCCTGAATACTCACGACTGTTGTAAATAACTTCTTTGCTAGTGAATAAAATAATCACAAAATTTAATAGCGTTCTAGTACATTTAAATCACGTTCAGAGCTCATACGCAAGACTTATATAACGCTAAAGTATAACATGCTACAGATAATATCTTCTACATACATAAATTAGAAATCTACTACTACTTTGAATTAGAAATCAGAACATTACCTTTCGCTCTCAGTCATCTTTTAATAAACGATAACATTAACGGCGTGAATAATTCGGATGTCCAATGTGTTGAATATACGAATATTATTCGTGCGCTGATATGTGTTTAAAATTGCGAGCGTACAAGACTGTTGACCAATCGCTATCAAGCGGCGCCCTTAGAAGCGCCGCTTGCCTTTCTCGATATTCCTCGAATAAGAAGCCTCCAAATCTAGATTAACGCATGCGCAAATGTTCAAATTGAGCTCCGAAGGCAAGCGCGCTTGCCTTGGTTAATAAATAATTAATTTAATCCACTTAATTTAATACACTTGACTCATCTTACAAGTGTAGCAAAGTGAAACCGAAAACCACGACAGTAAATCGCGTATAAATAGCAAGCATTTCAACTGTAAAGACAATTTAGACAAAAGATTACATTGAAATTGTTTAGAACAGAAAAATTTAAACTGATTTTGCTCAGAGATTGATCCAAAAAATTTTTGTTCGGTAAAATGCTTAGGCAAGCAGCGCTTGCCTACGCTTGCATGACCGCACGCCACTGCCAACGAACCCAACGAAACGAACAACTCAATGACAACAGCAACGATACCTTAAATCAAAGGTACGTCTGAGACTATCTCTCGTATCTTACGACCATACAACATACGAGTCGAACATGAACCAATCACAGCGTTACGAAAAGTACTAACGAACATAAAGGACAAAGAACAACCCAATGAACGACAATGTGCAGTTTACAAAATAAACTGCTCCGACTGCAACGCCTCCTAAATTGGGGAAATTGGCAGGAGCCTAAACATAAGACTTACTGATCACAAACGAGCTACAAACAAACAAGACAAAACTAATCACATTGCTGAACATCACCGAATCACAAAGCACAACATTGACTGGGACTCCGCAAAATGCATTACTAACAGTACTGACTATAGACAACGGCTTACATTAGAAAGTTTGTATACCAAATTGGAACAACCCCCTCGACCCCTGAGCAGGTCACAGCAATTACAGGCACTTTACATACGACTTATTCACAATACAAACAAACTTTTAACAAAAACATTACACTTCACATTAATTCACAATGACAATAAACAATTGACACCCAAACATTTCCTGTACACACAATGCAATGACGTAAGGAACTGATAACAAATACGGCTAACCTTAACTTTACTCCTCATAAGACTCTGAAGATGACTACCACCAAGGTTGTCGAAACGTCAGTGAACTACAATGAAAAGAGTCCTTCTCTGGACTATACTAACCTGGACAGTCTACGTTTAGAAACATGTAAATTCTCATTATGTCGACTTTTCTATAAACATGGCAGCCCCCTGAAAAGACTCTATTGATCCTTTTGTCTCAAAATTTTCCTAATTGTATTATGCACTGATTACTTAGATTTTACAATTTTTATAACTTAAAGAAAATGAAAGTTACGTATTTGTAATTTTCTTCTTTAAAACATTTGAATTAGTATTTTAAGCTAAATAAATGATCCAAGATTTAATTGATAATGAAGGATTTTACTCATGCTAACCAACAATTCAACAAAACACGAGAACGGGTGCAATTACTTCTTCTGAAAATGATTGTGATCTATGTTTATGGAACTCCCTCTCATTCTATAGTCCACAGAAGTATTTAGAAAATATATGTATTTGATTTTTGAGGAAACACTTATAAGCCCAGAAATTACACATTCTTGTCTAAGGGTGTATATATTTCCTTCGCCTACACTTACAATAAATACACTATAACATGATTCTTTTCATTTTCCAGTAAAGCTGTGAGTGGAAGAAAATAATGAAGAACACATTTACAAAACGATTGCTTTAAAATGGTTAGATTTTCAAGGCAAGTACCTATGAGAAATGTTCTTATTAAAGTTATTCATAAAGCTATACAACTTTTCTTCTCTTAAAGATATATTTTTTAACTTCACGATGAAAATTAAAGCTCTTGAATGCCCACTGATTTTGTTGAAAGAGTTTGTGACTTAGATCTTTCTATTTCCCCATTCAAATAACTCTTGAGATATCTCTTTTCAAGGTTGAATTTTTAAACATTTCTTTACATATAATAGCGGCTTGTGCCATGGGCTTGACTTGGTGACACGTTAATTTGTGAGGTTGATCTGCCTCCAGAATTAAGATTTATTTCATGCACCTGTCAATTTTTTTACAACATGTTTATTAGCTAAATGATTGACTCATCAAAGCTCTTTTTGCAATCTTATTTTATGCTTGGTGTAGGGAAATAATTATCAGCTGTACACTTGTAGCCTTATTTAAGCATGTTTTTTTTTGGTGTTCGCACAGTCATTACTAACTACTTGAAAGTTAAAAGTTAAGAACTAAGGGCAAAATTGTATTTTTTAATAAAAACATAGTTTTATTGCAGATGGTATTCTTTCTCTAGATTGTTTCAGTTGATCGTACCGCCTGTAACAATTTCAACGATGTTCTTTTTAATTTCTCTTTCGATGTTACTTTTCAAAATAATCTTCAGTGTTGTTGGGGGGTCATCTATATTGTTATATATGTGTGTCTTAATTAATTAGTTTGTATTGAAATCAATTTTTACAAAAGATTAATACTTGTTTCAGCCTATAATATGAAAGTATAATTCATCCCCATCATATATATCATCCACAGACAATTTGGTAGGAAACGAAAAACATGTTTTAGCTTAATTAGGAAACGCATATTGAAAAAACATTGTTCATTTTCCAGGATTTCTCGCTTTATATGAAAAGTTAAAGTAAAATTAAAGGCTAAAATCTTAAGCAAAAGGTAAGGAATTAAGTGGTAACTACAGCCCCCTTGTTATGAACAAAAGCTTTATAGTTGCAAAGCTTACCTAATATAAACCAGTTGCTTGGTGGTTCCCGCAGCCCATCACAAAGACTGTATTCAAGATAAGCCTCAACAGTATAAGTTCCAGCTTCCATAAGAAGTGCAACTGCTTCGTAAGTGCCATTTTCGTGATCAAAAACTGTTGCTGCGACGTTAGACGGTCCAATAAAATGCACTATCCAATTGTCACCTCCAATTGTCTTTAGGACTCCATTTGCATTTCGACTTTCTATAAAAATTCGTGAAAACTGTCCAGAAGGTCGAATGTCCATATAACCAACTGAACTTTTTTTTCCAGAGCTTCGATTAAATGCACCCCAACCAGATTTGTGTGTGCCCCATTTTAACTGGTCCTTGCATGGTTGTAAAATACTCTGCCAGTCTGTGCGAGATTTGTGTATCCGTAACCATTGATTGGAGAAATCAAGTGAACAGTTTGTGTTTTCTTCTCCCCGGAACGCTCGAGAAAAAACTTCATGTAGAGATGTTCTTGAATCACGAGTAAATTCTAGCTTTAAATACAGAGGGCCATAAGCTACCACAAAAATCAGGAAGATAAAACACAAACGAAGTAAATTCCACTTTGATGCCAATGACATGATGCTAAAAAAATATGCTTCTTTATACTCTCATAGAAAGGCTCGAACAATTCATATATTGTGTTAAGTTGGCATGAATATTGATATAAGAAAGTTCTAAAACTTTTAAACGATCAAAAGAGCTGTTGTTGAATTACTTCTATATAAAACACCAAGCGGAGATGCTAGAGGTCATATGCTTTTCATGTTTGGCCTTTTAAAAAATTTTTTGAAAACTTCAGTATTTTTTTAATTTTGAAGTTTGATGTTTTGCAATTTTTCTGGAGTTTATCAAAGTAATTTAAGGCGATACCAATGCCTTTTTTATTCATATTCAACTATTTAAGTCAATGATTATCAGATTCTAATAGAGTCTTACAAGCCCTCCATTTCTTAGTATAACAGCAATCAGCAGATGTCTTTGAGATACAGAAATTTTAAATCATTTGGTATGTTTAAGAATTTTAAAGTCCTCTCTTTTGGAAGTAGCAGTTCTATTACACAATGCTTTATTAAGGTAATTTTTTATGGGCCATTCACATACTCAAGAAGAGCAACCCTTAAAGACTGACTAGCATTTCTGCCCGAACTAAATGCATATCGAAGGGAAGTTGGAATACGTTATAAAATACCACAAATCCAATTACTGAAAAAATTGCAAAGAATATGTTCAAGCGAGACACAAAATATCACAAAATACGAATTACACGACAAATTAAAATTGATGGTATCTGGTGCAATAAAACGAGTCTTTATTGACTAAGTACTTCAGTAAGCGCATGGATAAAGTCTTTTGTTTCTTTAGTATCGTACATTGTGAATGTGTTATTTAAATTTAGGGGGGTTAACATCTTTTGATCTCACTTGTCGCTGGCAATTTGAAGAAAGGAAAACAAAGAGGAAACAAAATTTAGTAAATCTTTCATCTTTCAAAAATGACCATACTGGTCACAATGGTATTGAGACCCCCTCTGAAACGGCAGTATCGATATAGCTCTAACTTCCACATTATACGATTCACTTTTAGGGGTGGTCTTGGGAGGAAAAATTTACAAAAGTTTAATATTCACTGAGAAAATTACCATACACGAGCATTAGTCAAATGCCAATTTTGCTTAAATTGACAAATATTCTTGGCAGACATTGAATTTTCATATTTAAAAAAAAAATCATATAGGATGAAAAACCACACTCAACTCACTCTAATTATTCGTTATTTTAAGCATTTGACATTGTTCTTGATGGCATGCGATAGAATATATTTCCCAAGCCTTCCTCGTTAACCGGCTTTTAGCCATATTTTCCCGTCTTGTGTGCTTTTTATCGCCGAATCTTGAAAGTATTCGGCATATTTTGTACATTTTCTTGATCACTGATGACAAAATAAGATTTTAAACCCAGTTTTGTCAAGTTTGCATGCAGTGCAGTGTCTTTTATCTTAGATATTTCGTACATGTTAATATGGCGCCATTGCGAAGTGCCGTCAAAAGCGCTCAATAAACCACGCTTCATAAACTTCATAAAGATCTTGTCTGCACTATCGTAAAAAATTATTAAATTTTACTACAAATCGAAAAAATGAAAAGATTAGCTTTATTCGTAAGAGAAAACCTCCCGTAACATATTTAAGATTTTAATTTAAAACACAGCTCTAAAAATAACATGTAGATCTCGCGTGAGCTTCGCGAAATTGTCCACAGAATGTCCAACACATGTAATGATACTCCAGTGTTCAAACCATTTACTTTCTTTCTTAATACGTTGGAATAGTAGTTCATTTGAAGTCCTTTTATGTGCAACATAATTGAACGTGGCACAAAACACTTTTGCTTGTGTTATTCTTCGCCCTCTGTCGATGCTCTTTTTCTTGTTTCTGAAAGGGAAGCCTTTTCAAGATTATTTCTAGACGTACTTTTTCTTTTTTTGCGCCATTTTTCTTGGAATGAGCTTCCTTTTTCCAGTCTTCGAATCTGTTATTATGGCTAATAACCTGGACAAGAAGACAATTTCAAGTAATACAAAACAAAACAAATTCCGAAAAGGGACATCTCGTTTTCGTGATATTCGAGATAATACAAGAGTAGCCATATTGATAGCAAACGTATTCGTATACTCAAGAAACTCAATAGTGATTACGCCATTCTGAAAGCTGACAAAGGCAATGAAGTTGTCTTGTTAAACCCATCTGATAATGTCAACTCTCTTAATTCTCTGTTCGATAATCCCTGTAAATTTAAGCGTATTTTAAGCGACCTTACTTCTAGTAGACTCTCCACTCTACTATCTATGCACATGTCTAAAACGGGGTGAGATCAATAAAACTGAACATACTTTCTTACGAGTTACTCACGCGCTCTTTGCCAGAGCACATGGACTACCTGAACGCAGAAACAATTTGACACATTACCTAAGTTACGACCAATAATTGACGCAACAAACACACCACACTACGACGTAAGCAAATTCATTGCAAACCTTTTGAATCCACTCACCCTAAATAAATTTTCATTACAAGAATCCTTCGATGCTGCTGATGCTATTAAATCTATACGTAAAGATCTATTTTCCTAAGGTTATAAGTTTGTCTCTTTTCATGTTGAATTTCTTTTCACAAACGTGCATTTGCGTAAAACCACCAACAATGTACTAGAGCGCATTTACAAACAAAATACTATTAATACCACACTCCGAAAATCAACACTGAAAAAACTTATTATTGATTTATGCACAAGAACTATATTTCCTTGCAACGGTATTCTTTATGAACAACTTGATGGCGTTTCCATGGGGTTTTCTCTCGGTCCCGTCTTAGCTAATATAATTCTCACTGATTTTGAAAATATCATTGTCGCTGATTTGATCAACTCAGGTGTCCTTAAGTTTTACCGACGTTATGTTGATAATACTCTTGTTCTTATGTGACATTCTGACATTCCTCATGTTCTTGCCAAATTCAATAATTTTGATAAAAATCTTAAATTTACTTTTGATGACTTTTCTGACTCACATGTCCACTTTCTAGACTTTAAAATAACCAATAATGATATTGATATATTCCGTAAAACAACTAATACTGGCCAATATACACATTTTTCAAGTTTCGAACCTTTCAACCGCAAAACTGCTTGAACCTATTTTTTCGCGCATTTAAGATTTGTTTTAACAAACATTACTCAAAAAACAAATTCAAACACTCAAGTCATTTATGTCATAGAATGGTTTCCCTTTTACAGTCCGGAAATTCTTGAATCATAAACTCAAAACCAAAATCATAGCTAAAAATAACCCCCCAAACAAAATAGTGAGAATGAACTTCGTAAAATTTTCATTAGAATACCATATCTAGGCAAACAGGTGAACGTTTGCTTTTCAATCTTCCTCGTAAAATTCGCCATAGCTTAAAAATGCCCATCAAACCCATAGTTATATATGAAACAAAAAAGGCATCAATTTTCTGTCCCAAAAAGGAGAAAATTCCCTAAAGCCAATGTTGCATATGAATTTAAATGTCCAGATTGTGGTCATACGTACGAAACTGAACGAAAGGCAACTTAGGCAAAACTGAACGAAACCTACACACAAGACTAACCCTACATGCCACTAATTACAATAATTCTAGTGCTATCTCAAAACATTTACTCATTTGTCCAGACGCCAAGTACATATCACACCTTTTCTCACTTCCTGACGTTGACCACGACCCCGATCTCGCACGCGTGCCACTTAATCTTTGTGAATGCACCTTAATCCTTGATTCCAAATAACACCAAAATCTTATATCGCTGTAATAAAGATGATCCCAATCAACTTCTCATCTTAGAAGCGCTTTTGATAAAACGCAATACGCCACAACTTAATAGTGGTCTCAAAGCTTGTAAGAAATTATTTATATTTCAATGTAAGTATACCTCGTGATTGTTTAGTGTTATAGTTCTCTAATTACATAACTGTAATTTCCGCTTGTAAATAATTATGTAAAAGTTTCGCAGCCTGCATTGTAAACTATTAGTCTGATGATGTCTTTAGAATAAAGACGAATTATTACACCATCATTTGTTTCAAACTCTTGTATTATCTTGAATATCAAGAAACGAGATGTCCCTTTTCGGAATTTGTTTTATTTTATTATGGCTAAAATCGTCTTATTTAACCGTCTAGGAACGAATTTAAGACGAGTTTCCTGTCTCGACAAGTTTCCAGTTTAACTTTACCGTTTAATCTCGACGAGTTTCCAGTTTAACTTTACCGTTTCCTGTCTCGACGAGTTTCCAGTTTAACTTTAACTTTATTGAGATACGAAAATGAGTCGGGAAAGTATAAATGAGAAACTTGTCTCTCTCCGGATTAATATCAGACAAATGTGCGTCCTAATTTGTACAATGTTAATGTTCACTTGTGAAACGTTTCAAAAATGATCATATGAAATTTCATACATTGCAGATTAACAAGTGACATTTCGTAATATTTCGCACAAGATCACCGTTGCATGGGATGAGCTTGCCAGAAACTTTTATTAAAACATCTGCGTCACTAAAAGATCATTTCGTGAAAGGAAGATTTTTTAAAGTCAATTTTGTAGAATCTGCACACAAAAATTGCATGTACATTCATTTAGCAATTTAAATTTCATTTCAAGAAAGATGGTCGGGTATAAAGGTCGGGTATTAAATTTAATTTAAGAAAGAAGGTCGGGCAGTGAATTTAATTAATCTTCAATTGTTGCTTGATGAGATTCGTGCCTTTTCAAAGGATATGAATCGACGTAAGAATGCAGGAAGTGAAGCATATCTAACTCGTAAAAACTAAGACCAAAAAAAATGCTAAAGAAACGAAAAATCTGTTGATAATACAGTGACATGGCTGGAAGGATGAATAACGGAGGAACTCAAACAGTCACTTACCTCCTAGAGAAACTAGACAAGGTATCAGAAATACAAAATAAAGAAGTGGAACTTAGGCAAGCTGAATTAGATGCAGACATGGAAAGAAATGTGAGACAATATGGCTGCCACTACGCGCACGATCAGCAAAAACTCGCTAATTTAAGATGGCTGAAATAGTATGAATTTATACTAGGATTATACCAAAAACGATGCGCTTACCGAAACAAAAACGAATTTGCAAAGTGTTTACCTCAGCGAAATTACAAAATACCTTTATGAATGCTTCCTCCGTCTTTTGATCATTCACAAATTGCCAATGTTCTGCTAGAGTAACTCTAACTTACAGTAATATATCCCAAGGTAAACTTTTAATAAATACAGCAAATTCTAATTGCCTGCTTAGTTTAGGCTTGTGTAGTTTTGCACCAGGAGTTTGAAGAACAATTTGTTTACGCCACATTTCTCCTTTGATATTTCATATACACTTTCACGTTAATTTAAACTCACTGCGGCCTAAGCTCGCTTCGCCAAATACCTTTAAATAAACTGCCTTTTACGAACTTTTATAAATTGTTGTGTATACGATTAGAGCGGTATAATGCTGACGCTGCAGAACCTCTTAAACTTCTACGCCCAAGGAATATATTGCTGACTGAGGGAGAGGCATATCAAAGTCAATCAAGTCAATCTTTTAATTTTTGAATAGGTTTGATGCAATTTGGAAAGCACTCCATCAAACATACGTGAAAATTTCCACATCTGTTGAGGAAAATAGCAGATGGTTTAGAGAAATAATGGAACTTCCTTCATTATCTTGGGGAAATAGATGATAAACATAGCATAGTTGAATGTCCAAGGATGCAGGTTTTGCTTGATATAATTATAAAAATTTCCACAGCATTCAGCTTCTTGCAATTTGTAATGCAAACTATCGTTTTACTCATGTTAACATTAGGGATTATGGAAGCACCAATGATGCAATTATTCTGGCAAATTCAAGTTTTAGACAGGCATTTGATGAAGGTCCAGAAACACTGAAGATACCGATACCTTTCAGTTATAAAAATTTGCAGAAAATGACATTTGTGCTTATTGGTGATAACATTTTCCCACAGAAGAGTTGGTTGATGAAACCATTTCCTGGCAAACGACTTCAGGAGAACCAAATAGTGTGCAATTACAGGCCTTCATTAGCTAGGTGAAAAATGAAATAAACTACGCATTCGGAATCCTCCCTTTAAAATAGAGAATTTTTAGGAAGCCCGTTATTGCCAATGTTGATTTAGTGGTTGAAATCACCAAGAGCTCAGTATGCCTTTATAACTATACCTTCGGCTTTCAGAAAATGCTACTTACACACCAGCTGGATTTATTGAGATTGAAGACAGTACTGCCAGCATTTTAAATGAGACTGGAGAGACACTAGAAGCAATAGTTTATTACATGCAATAGGTCGTGTTGGCGATAATAGATATACTGTTGAAGCAATTAAGTGATGTGCATGATACATTTAGTACACACTTTAATAATACTAAAGGCAAAGTTGATTATCCATGGCAACTTCAAAATGTAAGAAGCTGTGGGTCTGTACAAAATTATTTAACTTTAATGGAAATTGTAAAATTTTAGATAATCCTTAGTTTTGTTGTTCATGTAAAAACTTATTATCGAAAAAAGAAATAAAAATTATTTTCTTTTTTGTTACAACACAACTGATGTCTGTTCATAAAAATATTTCATATTGTCAACTTTGAAAATGCAGTAATAATAATTAGTTCATATTTGTGGTGATAAAAAATGCATCCTTTACAGCCAAATATTTTTACCTAGAAATATTTAAAAGACAAGCTCGCCATAGATGGACAAATGACTTTGTCAACAACAAAATAGAGTGTGGTTTTTATGTCGCATTCACTTTTAGAATATGTGCATATTAGCCTTCTTTATCTCACTTGCAATAGCATCTGATATGTAGCACCTCCAGTTTCAATAAATTCATTTTGTATTGCTTTTGATCGATACGTTTGATTTGATGGACAGTCCTCGGAAAGCTAACATATCACCACACCTAGCGCCGTACTGCGTTTGTGTTATTGTTATCAATGTAGTAGCAATGTAGTATCAATGTAGTAGCAAATGTTATTGTTATCAAGCATCATCTCGACGAGCACGAAGAGGCAAATTTTGTCGATTGCATGTTAAAATGTCATCAACAATTGACCGTAGGCATTCCTGTTTTTTCCAAATCCACTGTTTTTTCATAACAAACTTGTGCATCAATTCTCATAGTTCTTTGTTCCATCACCTTTTTTAAGTCGTCTACTGGAACAGTAGCAGTTTGTGGACCGTCGATGATAAAGCATGTTTATAAATCCTCTGCACTGCAGATATAATGGGTAAGAGAGGACAACTTTTTAGCCTTTCAAGCTTACACAAGTTATGTGTTTTCTAGCAAGTGAAAAGGACACAGTTTATGCAAAACTACCATTAACAGCAGCCGAGTCAACAAATCAACACAATTTTGACGGCCAACGGTGCTAAAATAAATTTTTCTTTTAAAAAACATAAACAAAAGGAAAGTCGTGTGTTTTCTCAGTTTCCAAATATTACACAAACATAACATTTATGAACTGAAGAAAGTTTTAAATGAAGATATGATTTTCGCACTTTGCTGGACAATTTAAGCAATTGTCTCATGAACCTGAAAAATTCAGGTGACTGAACGGGATTAGAACCCAAGACCTCTGCGGTGCCGGTGCAGTGCTCTGACCAACTGAGCTATGAAGTCACACAGTAGTGAGCAGGTCAATTTTGTTGGGCTCATGTTTTGTCGTGAAATGATTTGTCATATGAAGAATGTTTTATGCAGTGCGGTGTTTGAAATTAAAGGAATATATGATCTTCGCACTTTGCTGGATAATTTAAGCAATTCATAGCTCAGTTGGTCAGAGCACTGCACCGGCACCGCAGATATCATGGGTTCGAATCACGTTGAGTCACCTGGATTTTTCAGGTTCATGAGACAATTGCATAAATTGTCCAGCAAAGTGCGAAGATCATATCTTCATTTAATTTCAAACACCGCACTGCATAAAACATTCTTCATATGACAAGAAAGTTTGTTGCTAAGTTTTACAAATTTATATATATCATTGGAATTAACATTCCTCTTTTGACAGTTGTTTGTGGACTCAGGTTAGTTAGCTATTGCGTTTCCCGAAAGCAGAGCTTCCACTTTAAAGTTGATATTTACTTGATATTCTGTCGGAGCTTGTGATGTTGCAGAATTTGATGATTTTTTTAGGTGCAGGTGCTTCTTCTTTTTTTGGAAGCTAAAAATGAGACTTTGCTAAAGCAATCTGTGATATTTCTGTAGGTTTTGGAGACACTTTACTTTTGAATTTCTATCTGAATTGAAAAGTTACGAAATCTTTGAGAAAAATATTGTCTATCTTTTCTTCTTATAATGGCATATATAGGGTGACGAAATGATCTTTATTTGACGGTACTTTACGATCTTACAAAAAAATTTAAAGGTACGCTGACAGGACGAAATATGTGAATTTTTTTGATGTACACGCAGTTTGCATAAACCCTTTTGTGAAAGTGCAAACTAAACATTTTTCATAGGGAATCGCAACTTTCAACATGCAAAATTTCATTCTACACAGCGTAGTATGATACAATGAATATATCGTAATCACTGAAACGCTCAAAAAGGATACACAGCCAAATGAAAACGCATCGATTCGAAAATGCTCTCCAAAGTGGAGTAATTTGAAAATTCAGACGTTCTGTTTTAATGTGGACGGTCAAAAACAGAGCCTTTTAGAAACGATGACGTCAATGACGTCCTCAAAATGGCGGAAATGTCGCTTGATGTCACAGCAACTGTGGGCGTTTTATGTATAAGCATGCA